CCCGCCCAATCCGAAATGTTTAATATTTTGAAAAAATAGAAATAAGTTTAAGAACAAACTCCGATGTAGCGATGTAGCGATACGCTACAATTCTTCTCTTGAAAATGACGGCTGTTAAAAGTGAAAAACTTCTGAGGGTTTCACCTCTCGAATTTCATTCATTCAAAAGTAAAAAAGTTATATTATGTTCTTAAAAAGATGGAAAAGTAGGTTTGCGAAGGTTGTTTTTATTTTAAAAAAAATTAAAGTCCCACCTCCTTTTTTGTGGAGAGTTAGGTTTGGATGGGTGGTTGGTGGGTGCTCTGGTAGGGTTTACTCCTTCTTTCCTATTCAGCGTCTAATATCCTCATCTCTCCTAGTTCTTTTCTCTTGTAACGCATCTAATCTTCGGCGTGGGTGGTTGGCGGGTGCTCTGGTGTGGTTCGCTTCTTCTTTCCTTCTATCAAACATCTATCGTTCTTATCTCCCCTCCTTTTATTTTGTGTTTGTTACTCTCTTGTGACACCTCTAATCTTCGGCACTTATATGACCTTATTGTGTTGCAAGTGCCGTAAAACGTTTACTAAAACTAAAACATAAGTTATTCGTCTTCCCCCTCCTCAGACGGAAAACAACAGTTTCAACATGAAGCCCGTGTTCCCCGTCCCGACACAGGTGAGCTCCTCGTCGCTGCTAGATCAGCAGCAGTCAGCAGCGGTGCCCCAGCGGGAGATCAACGCGGTGGCCCCGGTCACTCAGCAGACGCCCACGTTCACACTTCAGGCGTCGGCCCCCACGCCAACGGTCATCAAGGAACAGCCCATTGTGTCTGTGGTGACCAAACCTGCCACGCTAAAGACCAACCCCGCCAGTATTAGCTCGGTCATGACCTCCACAGCCTCCAACCTCCCCGCCATGCAGATACCTCTCATATTCCAACAAGGTGCGTCTGCCATGTTTAGGAGTCATCTCTTGTGTTTTTTGTGGTTTTTTTTGTGGGTGGTTGGCGGGTGCTCTGGTGTGGTTTGCTTCTTCTTTCCTATCAAACATCTATCGTCCTTATCTCCCCTCCTTCTTTTT